TGTTGCTAATAAGCTCTTCACTGCCCTTGGTCTTCTTCTAAATTTTATCCATTCAAATAGAAAATCTTATTTGCGCTGTTCCTCACTGAGGTTATAAAAGAATACTTGTCAAGTTAACTCTCTGTCTGAAACCAAAGAAATTGTATAAACATGGCGCGAGTTGGCTATTGAAAGCGAGCATGCTGCAGTTGGTCATGCTAGAGTTGGCAAAAACCGAAAGTTGTATAAACATGGAACAATACAATACCAACTTCTTAATCATTTCAATTCAAATTTAGTAACAAACTGTGCTACATCAGTTTCCAAATATTCACTTACTACTTTTTTCTCAATTGAAAACCATGATATGGTTATCAACTTATAGGAGAATACGCAAACCTGAAGCTCTGGTAGATCAGCCCGCATAAAAGGGTTCGTCTCCATCTCTTCCTCAATGGTTGAAGGAACTGTGGGGAGGCCTGTTTCCCGCTGCTTCTGTGCCCATGATAACTTCTGCTTTATTTTCTCATTGTCTGGTTCAACTGTCAGAGCAAATTGCAAGTTCTTCACTGTGTACTGGAGCAATACCAATCAAATCATTACCTTTGCCTTACGGACTGAAAGACATACAGCATATACAACAACAATTGAATGAATATGACAGTTATAAACTATGATAATCATTGGAACTAAATTGGAAAATAAACAACCCAATTCATCCTTGATCAGGAGAAGGAAATAGATTGCATTGTTCAAGTACATCAAACTTTGGGGCCTATAAACATCATCAATTAATAATGTCCCGTCATTGAGTAAAATTTCAAGACACAAAGAAATCCAGAATCTTCTTTTACCTCATGGCCACAGTAAACTCGTGTTGGCTTTGCAATGAACCCAAAGTCACACATAGCGACTGATGCATCTGTTCTGCTGTTCCTTCGAAAAATTTACCACAACCCGCAATAAACTACATATAGAGCAGGAACCACAGTTAACTGCTTGCATCCTTATAAATAGACATAAATCTAGTAAATTAAAAGAGATTCAGAGAACCACCCTATTACAGCCTAAATGTTCCTAAGAACATAAAAAAGGTTTCGGTATTCCAAACTTCTAAGTATTTGGCATTACTACATAGGGGGACAGATGTGACATCGACTTCATCCTGCAAGACAATAACCCATGTCTCCAGCACAACACATTCAAATAAACTTAAGACTACGGAAACCAGGTACCCTAAGAGGCCTTTCATGACATCTGTCACTGATTTCAGATTTCAAAGAAAGTAAAGCTCCTTCACTCAACTTACCAGTGTGTCTCCAGTGAAAACAGCTGGGTCATCTCCCTCTTTGTTAGTCACATAATAGCTTATGTGACCTTTAGTGTGGCTGGTGAGAGCAAGTTCAGGAGAAGAATATAATTAAAAACATAAAAAGGAAAGACATACATAAAGTTAAATCATCTAAGCTAAGATAGCATGGAAGCAATACCTAATCTAATGATCACGGTCCTATAGCCCTCTTTTTCTTGCCAGGTTTAGATTCAAATTCTCTATCATATCATGCTATAAAGGATCAAGGATATCTTTTGTTAAAGAACTATGATGCATTTAATCCCAAACAAAAGAAAAACTTGAGAACATTTGTGTGCCAGAAAGGCAATAATATGCTGTTGTTGCTCTTTACAGTCCAAAAAGAGGTAACGGATTAGTCCAAACTCCAAAGAGACTAACAAAATATTAGTCGTGTAGCCTACTTAAGAACATTAAACATTAATGAAAGACAAATCTGCAAGGAAGACGCATACCAAGGTGTGTGAAGAGACAGTATATGAACATCAGCCCCGAGAGAAATCTTATCACCGTTGTCCACCTTATCAGTGCAGCCCTTTACATTATCAATAGAACCACCATATACCTTAATCCCCGGCACCAGCTGCTTTATCTTCTCATTTCCACCAGCGCGATCCCTACCACATCAATGCAGCAGCAAAAACACTTAAAACAGAGGCAACTAACCCATAAGTCTAATCTTTACATTTACCCAAACTAAGATGCTCAATACAATCTTGGCCTGTCAGATTATTACCCAAGTAAGATATGAACCCCAAGTACCTATTTGTTGGCACTTATATCCAAAACAAATATAATACATATAATAATTTTGTAGTGACATGTTATGTTGCAGTTGAATATGAGTAATGGGTATGCAGAAATAAAGCATATGGGTGTGAATATAAGTGATTGAATGGTAAATTTGATGAAAACGTGCAAACATTTACACACCAGTGGTGGTGAGTGGTGAGGACGAGCTTGATATCAACGCCATGTTCTTGAGCTGCTTTAAGAACCTTTTCAGGCTCAACTGGATCCACAGCTGCAGCTTCTTTGGTACTCTTGTCAATGATTCGTCAATACAACTTTCAATTGAGATAAATACAGGGCCGTCTCTGAGATTTTAAGGGCACTGTGCGAAATTTAAATTGGGGTCTCGCATAATCTAATACGAAAATACTATAAAAATTTGTCATAACTTAATGTCATAAATAATTTTTTTATAACAAAAGTCACCATCAATAAATATGTAATGACAATCAAAAATCAAATTCATAAAAATTTAAATGTTTCCGTTTGATAAAGTTAAATGTTTGGTACAAAAATAAGCTCTTTGTGCCCCTATAAGGTCCCTTACTTCCTACAATAAGCAATCTGTGTTTAATAGGAAAAAAATTGGCAATCACAAATTAAAGAATAGTTGCACACAAATGTCATTAACAAATTAGATTATATTGCATCTTATTTTTCCCTCATTTATTTCTTCGTTCTTCGCCCATTGATGTATTATACATGTATCTATCTAATTTTTTGTTTAAAGATCTGATTGCGTTTACCGTTTTATTGGCGCGAGATGAATTTCGTTGTCAAAAGAATCGTTTCTGTGTTTTTTATCCAAGCTATTTTTGATACAGAAATGGGATTTGCTTGTATGTTATCGGTTTATTTTCTAACGTTGGTATTGGAATTTAAACGTTGAGGACATCTTAACCGTTGCACAAATGTAATTTCTAAGACCCAATTGTTTTCGTGATTTGTTTATTTTGGAACCTTTTTTTTGCCGAAGCCAATTGTTGTGGCAATCTTAGCAAATGTCGTTGTCAATGTTGTATAAGTTTGATATATATTTTATTCAGATTCTAATTTCAATTGTTGAATTTGGCAAAGTGAATTCATTATTGTCTGTAAGTTTGATATAATCATGTTTTTATGATGATTTTTTGGATGCTCTGTTATTGTTGTAGGGCCTGCAAGGTGTTATAGGCAGATTAAGAACAAGCCATACCATTATGTTACCTTTTGCATATTTCTAATTTAGGGTATAATTGAAAATCAATACATGATGTTGGAATGAAGAAGAAAGGTGTTGATGAGTTTCCCTTCTGCGTCCATCTTGTGAGTTGGGAAAAAGAGAATGTTTCAAGTGAGGCACTTGAGGCAGCTAGGATTGCTTGCAACAAATACATGACCAAATTTGCTGGGAAGGATACGTTCCATTTGAGGGTGAGGGTGCATCCATTCCATGTTCTGCGCATTAACAAGATGCTTTCATGTGCTGGGGCTGATAGGCTCCAAACTGGAATGAGGGGTGCATTTGGCAAGCCACTAGGAACGTGTGCACGAGTTGCGATTGGGCAGGTCCTCCTTTCTGTTCGCTGCAAGGATAGCAACAGCCATCATGCACAGGAGGCCCTCCGCCGTGCAAAGTTCAAGTTTCCTGGTCGCCAAAAGATTATTGTTAGCAGGAAGTGGTATGTTTTTGCTATTTCCCCCCCTATTATTCTGCCATACAAAGACAAGCCTTGATGTTTTGTTTATTTTTGAATGTGCTATATGCTTTCAATTTTATTATTTGTTTATTGGAAAACATTGATTAATATATACTTGTCGCAAGTTATTGTGTGCTGGAAATGAAAGAAGGAAAGAGTTTTTAATTGTGTGATGTAAAATAGTTCATGCTGGCACAAGTTTGTATATAGTCTTCTTTTGCCATTTTGAAAAGGTTGAACCCTCAAGTAATGATTTAAAGTTTGGAGAGTTGGAATTAGTTATTTCAGTTTGGGACATTGGTTACAAAAGAATATTTCAGTTTTCCTGACCTTTGCTTCTTTTTATTGTAATATTTGTCTTTCACTCAGGGGATTCACCAAGTTCAGCCGTGCTGATTATGTGAAGTACAAGAAGGAGAACAGAATCCAGCCCGATGGTGTTAATGCTAAGGTGATACTTGAGCTGCATGCAAATAGACGATAGAATAAGAGCCTCTTTACACATCAATCATGTTTCTTCCTGATTGCTTTTTTTTCATTATATCCACCATTCTATTATTCGTTATGCAAACAAGTAAAAAGTAGAATTGTGGGATGTTTATTTCTCCTTCTGATCAGCATAATCTGGCTTTGGATGTGGGATTATGATTAGCCCTGGTAACTAATGGTTTTTATATATGATCATGCAGCTTTTGGGATGCCATGGTTCTTTGGCTAACCGGAAACCTGGAAAAGCATTCCTGTCTGCACCTTTATCGGCTTGAAAAATGATGCTGCTTTTGTCATAGTATTTATGTAGAACTCGTGTGCACTCTCTATTTTTTTCGTGTTCGTCTATTTTCAGAACAAACTCATACTGAGGTGACGGGTCGGTTATTATGAGTTGTGAAGGCGGGTTTAGATTTATATGCTCTGCAGTATTATTTCTTTGGATGGTTGGTTGTGCAGTTTTTCTGAGGCACTTTGTTATAAAGATGTTGCTAATAAGCTCTTCACTGCCCTTGGTCTTCTTCTAACTTTTATCCATTCAAATAGAAAATCTTCTTGCGCTGTTCCTCACTAAGGTTATAAAAGAATACTTCTCAAGTTAACTCTGTCTGAAACCAAACCCCAAAAGGCCTCAAACTTCGGATTAAAAAAAGTGAAAAAGGCCTCACTCATTTTATTTTTCAGCCCAAAAAGCCTCACACTTCAGCAAAGTCATTTTTGCAAGGTTTTCATTTTCCGTTGTATACAACGGTTTGTTTATTGACTAGAATCAGTCAGGTGAAGGAAGGAAGGAAGTAAAACCCAAAGGTCCTCTGGTTCAGAACAGAAAGAATCCATGGCGGTTTACCAAAAACGACCGCGTGCTTATGAGTTTTGAGTGAAGAGAGCAAAGAAAATTACTCTTATACTTTAATGGTGGGAAATGTGGGCAGGTGAGAAAAAGCTTTGATTTTGGTTATTGATCCGAATAAATTTTGTGCATTTGGTGAAAGCTGGTTCATTTCAAAATCCGAGTTCAGAACAGGGGATGATCACAAGAAACCAATGGTCTAGTCATAAACATCCCATCATCTCGTCTATCTTAGGCTAACTTACCTTACTATCAAGCATATGAATGATCATAAAATTTGGCCACTATATAATATTTCAATATATATTATTTTTATTCAATAATATGTAAAATTGTGTGAATTTAGTGTGTATTGTTGACAATTGTGTAAAAACACGTGTATTAAACATGTAAAATTCGCACATACGTATATTGTACGTTTTCCTTGTGTACGGAAAATAGAAGTATTGTTGTAAAATACGCATGTACGTATATAACACGATTGTTAAACGGCAATAGATTGTACTATTTATTATTAGAAATAAAAATAATAACAAAATAGGCCACCACTGAAATTAATTAAACTAATCTGAATTAATTAATTATATTTTAAAAATTTATTATTTCTAAACTAAATAATTATTTAAATCTTAAATGTCCAAGTGCCCCAAGGCCCAAGACCATCTTTTTGATAATTAAATAATATGTATTATACACTCAATGGCCAAGTTGAATTTGAAGCCCAATTGGCTTCTACTTGGCCCAACTCCCAATTACTTTGTGTGGGCCAATTTCCAATTACCTAGCATGGCCCAAACCCCAAGAACCCAATGTATTTTAACAGTATACCCGCGCGGGTATACTACTTTTCAAAGAAATTTTAAAAATACCCAGTATAGCCGGCCGGCTATACCCTTGAAATTTATTATCTTCAAAAAGTATAGCCGTGCGGCTATACTATTTATTTATTTATTTAAAAAATAGCAACATATGTTTTCGAGAGTGCTGTTTCGTAAAACCAAGACAAAGGTCAAAAATACAGTATAGCCGTGCGAGAGCTTTTCTCGGTGTTCCTGTGGTTTTGTGAGAAGAAATCTCCTGATGAATGAGGCCATTTTGGCGTTGGGATGCGTGAAAGACAGTGTACTGTACCACTGTAGAGAGAGAAGACAAAACTTTTGTTTTCAATTTCTAAACGAACATGACCAAAAGACAAAGGGTCCCCGGGCCTTTTTGGTCACTGCCACTACCAGTCATTAATTTAAAAGGATGTTCCCATATGGATGGCCGCAATTTATTTTTCTTCATACTTTATGTTATGTCTGCATGATATCAATCAAATAACGATGATATTACCATATGGACCCCCAACAACATGCACGACCAAAATTCACCAAATTAGAAGACCATATATATATACAAGGATATTACCATATGGACCCCTAACAACATGCATGACCAAAATTCACCAAATTAAAGACCATATATATAATAGGATATATTAATATTTTCTTTGCCACAATAACCGCACACGTGTGTGCCCCAGTACAAAAATCGCTTATGTTACACAAAAAAGCCAGTAAAACTCCACAATATTCCTAATGATATTTTCCTATAATTATTATAATAATAATATCTAGAGAGAGAGAGAGAGAGAGAGAGTCCATGTGGGAGTAGTAGAAGGAGAGCACCACCTTGTCAGGCTGCTGCGGCCTTGAACTCATCATTCCCGTACTGATACACCCTAGTCTACACTAGTCTACTACCCTGCTTTTAATTTTATTTTATTTACAAAAATAAGAATGGGTGCAGGGGGAAAGAGAAGGAGTGTGGGCCAGCTTGTTACTTGTTGAAGACGAGTAAAGTAAAGGCCGAGTCGGGTTGTGGGCTGGGGACGGCCCAATCTTAGCTAAAGAATTGCTGGCTATTGCAGGCCCAGGCCCAATGATACTCTAAATCCAAATTCAATTAATTTGTAAATCAAATACCAACTTACCAGATTAATTTGATGCTCACTTAAATCATATTAATTCATTCATGGTGCACGGTACTGTAATTGTACAACTCATAACCATTATGATATATATACAGAGAGAAGTAAGCATTTTACTGAAACACTCAAGTGGATCAATTTTTGTCTTTCTTCCTCTCTCAAGTCTCTGTCATTTTCCTTTGTGTGAAGGAATTTGCATGCTAGAGTACGCGGTGACTTGAGAAATTTATGAGTTTATTTTGTTTTATTAGTTAATAATGGAATGATTTTGATATATTTGATGTTTTATGTCACTTTTACATGCGATTTGCTTTGATGTTAGAAAATTTGTAAATACATTATTGGCCCGTCACGGATAGGCCAATAATCACTTTTATTAAGAATTATTTCTTCATATAATCACTTTAAGTAATTTTAAGGAGAAGCACGTGGAACATAAGTCTTAAGTGTTTATTTAAGCAAAAGAGTTCTTTTGTCTTTTCAGCTGGGTTTTTAGATAAGTGACTTTATTTGTCTTCTCAAACAATCCGCACAAATAAATGGCTTATAGACCCTCAGATTCTCTTCTCCTATCACTTCATGTGGGGCATAAATCACCCTTTCATCTTCAAGCACTAAAAGAAAGCTAATGAGAATCTGCTAACACATTGCTTTAAAACAACCCTGT